TCTGTATATATATATATGTACATATGTATATAATATGTATATATGTATATGTGTATATGTAAATGTACAGATATAACCCAATACCAGAAACCTACATATATATTCTAATGTAAAATAATAACATAACTTAATCCAGGTATGTAAGTATGTATGTATATATATATATATGTATGTATATACACTATGGCGTATTTCGTTGGAATGGGGCCTATGGGTTGAGAGAGTGCCTTCACTGGTTCTATCCCTATAAGGGTCCAAAGGACCCAATAATTCGGTACTTAGAGTTCGGATCGTAGTTATCTAGGTTATTATTTGGGAGAGTATATTATAATTGTGTACTTGGGCCCTTAGGGCATGTTCCGACAAGAAACGCTTGTACCGTCGAAAAGAACTTGGCTATATCTTCACTCTTGACGCCCACGAGCTCCTCCCAGCCAGGATGGAACACCACCTTCTGGTACATGGAGAGTTCTCTAAATTAGGGTCTCTTTTTGGGGTCCCTTTTTATAGGGGTGCCGTACTATCCTGAGACCCTAAAAAAGGAACCCTAATTTAGAGAACTTAGAGAACTATCCACATGAGGGCTAGGCCCTATAAACCCCTAAACCCTAAACCCTAAAAGCCCTAAACCCTAAACCCTGAACCCTAAAAACCCTAACCCCTGAACCCTAAAATCCCTAAACTCCAAGCCCTATACACCCTAAACCCTCTAAACCCTATACACTCTAAGCCCTGAACCCTATAGGAATCAGGATGAGGGTCCAGGGGCCAGGGCTTACCGTAGAAGCCCAAGGCTGCTGGGAAACCCCCACAGCCTCAAATCCTAAGAGAAATGCTGCGGGAACCCCAGCACTACATGTCCTTAGTCCGGCTTCCCACTTTTTGGTGTGTATTAACTATGCTTTTGGTGTACTAAGTATTAGTATGTTTTTGCGATAATAAAAGGCGGTTTCCCAGGTTTTTTTGGGGGATTACTTAGTTGGACCGTTTCAGGTTTCTGGCTTTCTTGCTGGCGCCTCTCTTCCCACCTTCCTGGGGTTCGTTTCTCCGGTGTAGGGGTTTAGGGGGTTAGGGGTTTAGGGGTTTAGGGGTTTAGGGTTTAGGGTTTCGAGTTTAGGGGGGTTCGCTTCTCCGTGGAAGGCTCGGCTTTAAGCATTGGTCTTCGGGCGGTGGTCGGGAGTTCGGCTGTGGTTTGTCTACAGTTCCAGGCGGTAGAGTGTAGGTGAAATTTGGGTATTTTTGGCGGTGGGAGTGTGTGGGTCTCAGACACTCGGAGGATCATGTGCCTTAGCAAGTAAGGGTTTAGGGTTTAGGGTTTAGCCGGGGTGGGTTTAGGGTTTAGGGTTTGGGGTTTAGGGTTTGTTGTAAATTAGTGTAAATTAGTTACCTGGTCTATAACCCTAGCTGCTAAGTCAGTAGTGGAGCTGGGCCCAGACACTTGGGGTGAGAACAACCCTAATGTAAGGGCCTTGATAATCAACATAGGGTTTTGGGGCTGTTCCTTCTTGCAGTTCTTGTATAATATACCTCAACCCCAGCAGGGTTTAGGGTTTAGGGCTTAACAAAACTGTAAGATCCCTTTACATGCAAGCCCGACATTGAAATAAACACAATACAACCTCGTACTATCCCATGCTGTAGGCCCCTAGGACCCAAAACAACAGCACGATTGTGTATGCAGGGTTCATAGTTACTAACCCTAAACCTTAAACCCTAAGACCTAAACTTTAAACCCTAAACCTTAAACCAAAAGCCCTAAGTTTTAAACCCTAAACCTTGAACCCTAAACCTTAAACCCCAAGCCCTGAACTTTAAACCCTAAACCTTAAACCCTAAGTCCTAAGCTTTAAACCCTAAACCTTAAACCCTAATCCCTAAGCTTTAAACCTTAAACCCTAAACTTTAAACTTTAAACCCTAAGCTTGAACTATACCTTAAGGAGTACAAGGCCCTCAAGCCCAAACCCCAAAGCCTCAACCTTGAATGACTAAACCCTAAGCACTGAATGAGTACAACCTGAATTGCCATACCCCTGAATCAACAAACATGATAGTTTGAATAATTCCTTGGGGTTGTAGACCATTCAACAAACATGATAGTTTGAACAATTGCTTGGGGTGTAGATTATTCATATCGCAAACCTTTTCTAAGAACACTACAGTCACCGCAGGCGAGGCGCGTAGTCTGGTTTCAGATCCGAGACGATCTTTCCCAGCTCGACCGTGGTCTTCGCAGACCATTGTGGAGTCCTTAGATCCATCCTAAACCCTAAACCCTAAAGTCCAAACCCTAAACGCTAAACTCTAAGCCGCTTTCGAGTTTGGGGCTTATGGTTTCGAGATCAGGGTTTAGATTAACGTGTTCCGTAAAGGCTGGTGTTGTCGGTTTAGGTTTAGGATGTGGCCCTCTTGTCGTTAACAAAGTTTAAGCTCCAATGTGAATGCATGTGGGTTTTTCGAATAGGTTACGCCATGAAAAATACGGGAAAAGCAACAAATCATCTCAGGGAATCCCTTACAATCTACGGGGTCTTAGGAAGCTGGTTTAAAGCAGAAATCAGGACAGAACAACAATTAGCAACTAGTCTCATCAGGAGTACATACATACATTGGGCCCTTGGGCAAGAAATAATAAAAGACACACTAAACTCAAAGCCCTATACCAATGGGGGGGACTGCTTTTTTCGTTTCACTCGTTGGGAGCCCCACAACTAAGAATAGTGTTTCGTGTCGACGAAGGAGTCCCACCAATGGGTAGTTCTCCACATTGGGGTTCACTTAAGGGTGCTGTTCATAAGGTGCTGTACTATTTTTGGGGGACCTGAAAAGGGACCTCAATTTAGAGAACCACAGAGAGAGAGAGAGAGAGAGAGAGAGCCTCAAGACTAAACGGGAAATCTGCTGGGCGCACCGAGAGTCTCTATAGCGGGATGGCATTTGTTCGGACCGCACTGACAGTTGCAGAGGTCAATGCTTGTGCCGTTCGCATGCCAGTGACCCCTCATCGGAAGGAAGGCTTCACCGAATTTCTGCAGATAGGTAATTGCAACCATATTGTGAGGGTTGCGGTAGTACCGGTGCTCCGTCGCATCCTTCATGCCGCCTTGTGGTCGATAGCCTGAGAATAGCTCGGGGGATGGGTCCTCACCTGTCCCCTCGAACGGAGCCCTAAAGAAAAGGGGAGGAAAGCCATGAGTGCCCTTTTGCCCTCACTTCATCCTCATGCTTATCACCAGCTGCAACATCATCAACGTCGTCATCATCCTTTTGTCGTCATGGATCTGAGACGGTCAGCTACATTATGCAGGAGTATGTACAAGATACTACATAGGGGGCAGCTGAAGCAGAGGCAGCCGGCGCAGAACGAGAGTTGCAAGAACAGCAGTAGCCAAAGACTGAGAAGCAGCAGTAACAGTCGGAAGCTGTAGAGTGCTAGCTATATTTATTCGATTCTGCTGTGCCCAGCGGCAATTGCACAGCTCGTATTTCAGGAGGTGGTTCGTGCGATTGAACCAACTGGCCCAATTCTTTCCAGACTTCTCGGCGCTGGTCAGCAAAGACAAATCTTCGCCCGTGGCAAAGGCACCAGATGTAAAGAAGTATGCCAGGGACATGTATTGGTATCGCATTCGTGAGTCTCCAATCATTACGATATGCTTATTCCGGAAAGCAGGATGACCTCCAAGTGGCTGACTCTGCGTGCCAGGTGCTGGCATCCTCACCCAGTTTCCACACTCCCTGGTAGCAGAGCACAAGGAATTTGTCTTTGGAGCAGCACTCTTCACATTCGTCGTCGTTGTTTTGAGGGCGGGCAGCCTGGTAGTCGTAGTGGCGGGCCTCGATGCTGGGGTCGTTGACACGGACGGGGCGACTGTGGTCAGCAGCGTCGAGGTCGTCTCCAGGGGCACGGCAAAGGCACCTGTGCTATTGCCAGTGGCGCGGACTTTGCCATATATGATGAAACCTTGGCCGACTTTTCGATGGTGTAGCTGATGAAGAAATGCAGGCACTTAAGTCACTTAAGTCCTAAGAGTCAACCAAAAGAGAGCCAAGAAACTTGCGGAAGATCGAAACCACGGCAGCAGACAGGCGCAAACCACTCCCAGCAGGAAGAAGGCAAAGGCCCGAAAGCAGCTGCAGCTATCATTTTCCTCGTCAAGGTCCGACATTCCATCCCCAGGTACTGCCTAGAACGTTCCACCTGAGGTTGCGTTCTACAGTATGTACATCCCCATGTCCAGCGAGGCATGTGCGAGTATATATATATATATACATATGTATATATATATATATAATATACAAACAAATACTAATAATCTGAATATTTACATGTGTATATATATAATACACATCATCTAACAATGAACATACGATACATGTTTACCCATGACATATTTACGGAAAAAGACGGGTGTGCAAGAAAACACGAAGGCCGGCCCGCATGTAGACGCGTAGGTATGTGAAGCTTCCAGAGCAGCGGCTGCAAATCGTCAAAAAGGTTCTTGCGACCGTTGCGAGGCCATATTCTCATGACGCAGATCCCTAAGCCCTAAACCGCGAATCTCGCTTCAAGCATCACTAAACCCTAGCCGAAG